TAGGGTTTAGGGTTTAGGGCGAGTCCTGCGATGCTCGCCAGACGGAAAAATAGAACATGGAGACCTCGCCAAGCAAGCAGCAAGCTTTCAGTAGGGTTTAGGGCTAAGGGCTTTGGGTTTAGTGTTAAATGCTGCAGATTTATTGGGCACTGAACCTCTCCAAGCAAGAAGCAACAACTTTTCAGATAGGGTTAGGGCTACAATTTTACGGGCACTGAAGAACTCTCTGTGATGCTTAGTAGCTCAAGGGGTTTAGGGTTTAGGGTTTTAGGGTTTAGGATTTAGGGTTTAATGCCTCAGCAGCCTTTTAGAAGGTGTAGGGTATCGGGCCACTGTCAAGAAAAATAGATCCAAAAGGAAATGGCTCCTGGAGAAGGACCCTTACAGGAACCGTGCCGCGGTACCCGGTTATGGTACCCTTACAGTACCCTTAGAGGGACCCTTAAGACAATGTAACCCTTATACTGTACCCTTAAAGGGACCCTTGAAACAAGGTATTTCTTATACTCAGAATCCGACGGCTCTCCTTCAAAGCCCGATTACCGGGTTTACGGTTTAGGGGTTTAGGGTTTCGGGTTTAGGGGTTTAGGGTTTAGGGTTTAGGGGTTTAGAGTTTAAGGGTTTAGGGCTTAGGGTTTAGGGTTTCTGGATAGGGTTACCCCCGATTCCGATTGCGGTGGGTTGTAGCAAGGGCTTGGGAGGTAACCGGATCTTTCACAAATAAAGGGCCTGAATAAATTGGAATTGGGCCTTGGGCTTGTCGGTATGCCCTAAACCTAAACGAGTGTATTGTTACGTGTGGACTTATGAGGTGACACAATGCTGATTTGTCGGACCTCTCTATCACAGTGTCTTTTGACTTCAGCCATTCAGCTGCTTGCGAGGTGAATGAAAGACACGCCCAAGCACTGTGTGCTTACTACGTCCCCTGATCCCTCAAAGGCCTTTAGGGCTTGGGCATCAGGGGAAGGATCAAGGAATTTGTCGGTCGGTGGAGCTACTGAGGGGTTGCATTTGGATAATACGGCTACAGTTGCCTAAGTGATTGACTAGTCGAGTTTAATTCCAAATGGGAGTAAGGTGACCATAGTAGGGTGCAATGACAAGCATAGTAGCGATGATGTTGGAAGAGTATCGAGAATACTGAAATTGCCGTAATAACCCTAAACCCTAAACCCTTGAACCCTAAACCCTGAAACCCCAAACCCTAAACCCTTAAACCCTAAACCCTCAAACCCTAAAACCTAAAAACGAAACTCTTAAACCCAAAAACCGCTAAACTCCTGAAACCAAAAACCCCTAAACCCCTACACCCTAAACCCCTAAGCCCTAAACTGTAAGGATATCACCCCTACATCAAATCGACTCGGAAGCCTCGTAGACTGGACGGAAGAGGAGGCCGACGGCGCCTGACGGTCGTTGCGGGGTCTAGGGGTTTCGGGTTTCGGGGTTTAGGGTTTAGGGTTTAGGGTTTAGGGTTTAGGGTTTAGGGTTCAGGGTGTAGGGTTTAGGGGTTTAGGGTTTAGGGTTTAGGGTTTCACCAAGTTAGGATTTACCTTAACGCTAGAAAACCGGCCCTTTTAAGGACTCATCAAAAAATCATAATAAGGATCTCGAAAAGGTAGGTTTTCTAGGATTTAGGTAGGGCTTGGAGTTTAGGATTTAGGTTTAGGGGCTTGGGGTTTTGGGTTCAATAATTTAGAGTTTATGGTTTAGGTTACACAGGCATCGACGCCGCACATGTCGCTGAAACTGTCGACCGGTAAAGCAGCCGAACACTTCAACCAAGTGCCTTTCAGGCACATTGCGCGCGGAGGAAGCATTTGGCCTAAACCCTGAACCCTAAACCCTGAACCCTAAAATCCTAAACCCTTAAACCCTAAACCCCTAAACCCTTAAACCCTAAAGCCCTAAATCCTAAAACCTAAAGCCCTAAACCCCTAAACCCTTAAACCCTAAAGCCCTAAATCCTAAAACCCTAAAGCCCCAA